GATTACAGCGTGAACTCTGCTTAAGAAAATCACTCGACTGCGAGCCACACACTGTAGCCTGGAGCCACGCATGTGCAATTTACCAGTGCTGGAATCTGGATGCAGTAATGGAAACAGGGATCAATGCAGAATTAACTGGAAGTGAGAGAGTCGGGAGATGAGCTGAAAATGATGAAAAGCTGCACTGATATGATTTTTAACATTATTCTCTATTTCTAATGAACTGAGTGTAACAAAAACCTTTCAGTGTGTTTGATATGGGCTGAGGTTGATGTCATGCAAACGGTCCTCGTAATGTACTTTATAGGGGCAGCGTATGTCAAATGTTAACACACTTGCATAGGAATATGACCGTCATAAGCATAAAGCCTATTCACACTAAAGGGGATGTGAAAGTTACAGAGAAAATTGTTTCCAAAATTATTCAGTCAAGAAGAGTATGATGCAATTTTTCGTCAAATACTAAGTGGGGGGGAGGGGGATATCAGACACAATCCAATAATTAAAATTAGATTTAAATGTTTGAAAATGATTTCAGCTGGCGTTATTTTATTATGTGGGAAGAAAGAGAGCATGGAGTGACGCAAGAGACAGGAAACTAGCAATAGGAAATATGTGACCTGGTGGTAAAACAGTCAAACAAACAGTTTAACACCAATAAAGGTACGCTCACATTTACTGTTTAGCTCAGTCATGTCTATAGGAATCCGTGTGATTGGAATCTAGCTTGGAGGCGAAATTTTCACGTCGGTCACATCATGTACGTACCACACTCAATTGCACGTACCACACTCAAATGCATGTCCATATCTGTCAATGGGTAAGGCTGTGGAATAATTTACCTGTAATAATTAAAGAAAGCAATCATATTGTGCAATTTAAAAGAAGGTTTAAAATGTTTATATTAGAAAAGTATGATTTAAGGTAGACTGGGACATATGTTTCATTTCCTCTTCAAGAGGATGATTTGAATTATTATACAGTCTGTTTCTTGCCATTCCTTTAATATTCATTGTCAGTATTACATTTTGTGTTTTTTGTTTATTTATTTATTTATTTATTTTTTGTTTTTTACATTATAATTGTATTGTGTGACTTATTTTTAGATAAAATGTACTGCAAATGATTAAGTTTTTTTGTTTTTTGTTTTTTGTTGTTGTTGTTTCTCAAAAAGGATAAATTCTGATATTTTGTAAAGAGAAAACAGTAGCCGTTTCAAATCCAGATTTGTAAAAGGGGAAGGAAAACATAAGTTAGCTTCTTCCTTCTCCTTTTTTTTTCTATATTCTTTTTCTTCTCTTTTGAACATGCTGAGATTTTGTTTTTATTATTTTTTGTTTAAATATGCTCTGTTATCAATGACCATGTTCTGAAGAGGAAAAGGAAATGAAAAGAAATAAAATTATTCATTCATTCATGTATTGACTGTGTTGACCAAAACAAAAAGCGCTTGAAAGCGTTTCATACTGTACATCACTATACAACTGATAATAGTAGGGCTGTGTATCACCAACAATGTCACGATACGATACAGATCACGATACTAAAAAGCCACAACATGATACGCATCACGATACTAAAGCCACGATACGATACGCATCACGATACTAAAGCCACGATACGATACGCATCACGATACTAAAGCCACGATACGATACGCATTACGATACTAAAGCCACGATACGCATCACGATACTAAATCCACGATACGATTCGCATCACAATACTAAAGCCACGATACGATACGCATCACGATACTAAATCCACGATACGCATCACGATACTAAAGCCACGATACGATACGCATCACGATACTAAAGCCACGATAAGGTACGCATCACGATACTAAAGCCACGATACGATATGCATCACGATACTAAAGCCACGATACGCATCACGATACTAAAGCCACGATACAATAGGCATCACAATACTCACGATACGCATCACGATACTAAAGCCACAATACAATACGCATCACGATACTAAAGCCACGATACGATACGCATCACGATACTAAAGCCACGATACACATCACGATACTAAAGCCACGATACGATATGCATCACGATACTAAAGCCACGATACGATAGGCATCACAATACTCACGATACGCATCACGATACTAAAGCCACAATACAATACGCATCACGATACTAAAGCCACGATACGATACGCATCACGATACTAAAGCCACGATACACATCACGATACTAAAGCCACGATACGATATGCATCACGATACTAAAGCCACGATACGATATGCATCACGATACTAAAGCCACGATACGCATCACGATACTAAAGCCACGATACGATATGCATCACGATACTAAAGCCACGATACAATAGGCATCACAATACTCACGATACGCATCACGATACTAAAGCCACAATACAATACGCATCACGATACTAAAGCCACGATACGATACGCATCACGATACTAAAGCCACGATACACATCACGATACTAAAGCCACGATACGATATGCATCACGATACTAAAGCCACGATACGATAGGCATCACAATACTCACGATACGCATCACGATACTAAAGCCACAATACAATACGCATCACGATACTAAAGCCACAATACAATACGCATCACGATACTAAAGCCACGATACGATACGCATCACGATACTAAAGCCACGATACGATATGCATCACGATACTCAATTTTCGTGTGTATCACAATACTAAAGCCACGATACGATATGCATCACAATACTAAAACAACGATACGATACGCATCACGATACTCACGATATGCATCACAATACTAAAGCCACGATACAATATGCATCACGATACTAAAGCCACGATACGATACGCATCACGATATGGATCACTTTGGAATTTAAATTTGTTTTGAGCTGAGTTTAGTAACAGCGTTATAACAGTTGTGATAACTGAAAAACAATTTAGTTAAATACATAAAAAATGCCGAGAATGGCTCTTCCTTCTGCTTTTAAAGTCTGCCTTAATAACTGAAATGACAATTATAGTGACACTAAAGCATGTATACACTGCTCAATGACTAAACAAAACTATAAAAGCAAAAATGGTAACAACTTAAATTTAACTTAGTTTTCTCAAACTCTTTTAAATGCCAAGTGTTTAACAATTTGGTCTTAAGTGTTGAAATGTGCGCCAAACAAAGTAATTTCTTCTATGTTGAAATCATTGTAGATTATTAAATTTTCCCATTTTTATGCAGAAACAAAAATGCATAAAATTTTATAAAAACTGCATAAATGCATATTAAGATTTATCATTTGTGTGGATTTATTTTCTAATACAAAATACATGCTAAAGTGAATCAGTGAATTGTCCCGCATTACTAGTGGGAGAGCTGCGGGAATTATTAAAATGATGCGCGATACCCGTGCTGAAATTCTGGCCCTTAATTGGGTAGGAGCCGATGGATCGATACGTGCATCGCCACACAGTAAAAAAATAAATAAATAAATAAAAAAATCATGATTTGTTATCATAATGTTTTTTCTTCCGTCAAATCAACTTAGATAATTTATGTGGTTCAGATTTTGAGTTTCTGATTATTAAATCAATCTCCTTCATTGTATTAACTAAATTTTTCAATTTCAATGAACTTAAAGTTTTAAGGCAACCAGGTTATTTCATTTTAAATGAAAGTTAAACCAACAAAAGTGCAGGGGCTCATGACGATATATCATTGTATCGATATTGAGCACAGCCCTAGATAACAGACAGAGGACCTTTTTGCCAACTCCGACCCATTGTGATATCTGTGAGGGGAAATCTTTCACCCACATGTGAAATTCATAATTGCATAGATTCCAAGTGAAATGAGTGGATTTCGACCCATAAACAATGGTAAATATGGCTGCACCTTCACATAATGAAAGATAGTGTGCATATGAATGAAAAGCTAGTCGTGCAACATATCTCTCACCTTAGTTTGAGGTTACATTTTTTTCTCACCTTCCTCCTTTATTGTCTTTTCTTCTTTAATATTTTCCTTTGCTTTCAGCACTTCATCAGTTTTAGCTGAAATAAAAAAAGAGAATATTGCAAGTTATAAGTTATAAACAGACCATTTAATATATAATTAAGAAGCCCTTTACACTATAATGTCTCTCTGCAAATGTACACTCCTCCCGGCACGTCTTTAAGTCTTAAGCACACACTTATTAAATAATTTTTCAGCATGCTAATTAAAAGCCTGCGAGAAATCCTTATGCTGTGGAAACAGTTTGTGTACATAGTCTTATGGCAATTCATTTAGTCTGTTGACTCGCTTCTCTCCTGCCCTCCAAATAATGAAGACGTTAGCTGAGATGAAGACATATAGTGAGCAGTGAAGGGGGACTATCAATACAGCCTGTAAATTAATTACACCTCTGTTCCCGCACGTAATTTATTCTAAAGCGTTCATGTCTCCCAGGAGCAATTTGCCTTTATTGCTGTTTCACTCGCTGATGAGAGGAGTCATGCAAAATTGAGTCCCTCATAGCATTACCTTCTATGAGTTTCAACTTTGAAGTAAAAGGAGACGGGAGGGTAATCATAGTCATTATGAGAAGCAAATTGCACAGTTTGCCATGTTTAGACCAAATCAGCTGGATAACATGATTGTTTGACCACCATTTTAACAAATAAGTCCAGTATGACATATTTTATGTTTTCATATTTGATTTTTTTTCTTCCACACTCTAGTGCTCCACGAATCAGGTGTATTTTACTCTTCTCCAAGCTAAATGGATACCGATATCAATTGATCAATAAATACCGTTTTGTTGCTCTTTAATCCATCAGACAGATAGATCACTGTAGTCTCAGCTAAAGCATGAATGAACATCAGAAGGAATGCGGTTTCAACCACGGAAATACGCCAATATTCACCGTTTCTCAAGTTCAAATCCACTGAATTTAATCTACTAACTCTACTGACTGCTTTGTTGGATAAAATGGCGGATTATGATTGGCCCCTGCGGAGGGTGAAATAACCTTTTATCTGTAAATATTTGATATCTTATCTATATATGGGACTGGACAACTTTATTATTCTGCCATATATGGGGTTTTTAAAGGGATACTCCACATTTTACAACTCCCTCAGAGGTAAACAGTTGAGTCTTACCATTTTCAAATCCATTCAGCCAATGTTCTAATATTTAGAAGAACATCAGTAACAGTATCTGGTCCCATTGACTTCCATAGTAGGAAAAAATATATACTATGGAAGTCAATGGGACCAGAAACTGTCTGGTTACTAAAGCTTAAAGCTGCAGACAACAAACCGCAGTGCAGGCTTAGAAAAACAGAACGCGATCATCTGTTGGCGTAGATGCTAACTTAGTTATCCTTATTGTAATCGTTCTTGGTGTGAACGGGTCATAAGATCCACCAGATTTATTTAGTGTCGCCCGCGCCTGCATTTCTTGATGTATTAGGAGCCGAAGCTGATAGCACAGCAACTATCCGCAGTAGAAAGCTAAAGACTTTCACTTCATCTACACTTAATTCCAGTTTGGCTGGCAGGATGGATAATGGAGCCTCCACTGAAATTCAATTGTGATTATATGTGTAATTGCAGCTTCGGGCCCCTAGAGTCATGTAGGAATGCAGGACTATGTTTCATTGAAATGATCACACAGAAACAAATCCGTCCGCCTCCTTCATCCAGTGGGCTGATTAGCAGCGATGGCTCGTTAGAATCCAATGCAATAACGCAAACATCAGAGAGAGAGATGGCCGGGGCCCATTATCAGTGATTGATGGAGGGGTAGTGTGTTGTACGAACACGGGGGCTCAGAGGGGCCCACTATTTAGATTGAATAAAGAGCTCGGGTTTATCAGGTTTATCCACTACAGTAGAGCCACACGCAGAACCTACTCCACTTCACCCACTTTCTGTCCCTATTTACGCAGCAGCAATTCATTGATACAACACTGCCAACTGAAGGAGCTTACTGGCTCCCGAAATAACATTAAGCAGACACGTGAGATAGCATATTGAATTCAAGCGTGTGCCGGCACAATCCGTGCGGGAGTGTCTAACAGATGCCATGTAAAACCATGACAGATGAGGTGTTGAAGGGTGTGACACGAGGTCCAGGGTTCGTTTGGGCAAAGTTTGAACTCAAAGGAAGAACTGAGATGCATAAAAATGCTATTTGAATGGATCATGGAGTAAACAAAGTGTGTGGGTGGAGGATGCACATACAAACAAACACCATGTCAATGCTGTGATGGAGAGAAGGTAAAAAGGAAAGGATGAAATAATGGGGATAATCGTCAACTATCGGGAAATGCGCACAGTAGAAGAAACTTAAAGGGACCTATTACGCTTTTAAAGCTTTCTTTAGTGTCTAGTGTTCAGTTTCAATTGACCCTATTATCCATGTTTGGAAGAACAAACACCACTCACCATGAAATCAAAATGGACAATTCTGTTGTTTTTTTTAAATATATTTTTTTTATGTAATATTGCAGTTATTAATTATTATAAAAGTTTTATAGCCTGGCATGCCAGACCAACATCAAGATGTTAGGTCTGGGAACTCATCATTGACGGTGCTCAATCCGAGGGGCGGGATAAACGCTTGTCTATCAAATTCTCTCTGCACGCAATTGGATAGCGCTACAACCAATCAGAGCAACGAAGAAGGTGACGACTGAGTCCCATGAATTTTCCCACCAGCAGAGCAAGTTGATATATTAAACTTTAACCGTATCCAGTCGGCAAAACTGGATTTTAAAAAAATGACTCAAGTGCCGTTCTTTGTTCTGGTTTCAAAGAAAAGCTTAAGTTCAAATCATCCAGAGTAGCGGTCAAAGCCGTATCGGAAGAGAGCTGTTTGCCAGCAGCAGCCATTCTTTAGCCCGCCCGCCGACTCAATACACGATGTGATTGGCCTGACCAGAGTTTGGTTTTCCAGCTAAAATGTCTATGGAGAGTTGCTAGACCACACTGGCTGTGAAATAAGTTTTGCTGCCGCTAGGGTGCGTCTAGATTTCTAGGCTAAATGATTTATCCATTTTTCTTTAATCTCGTCTCGTAATCTTGAATCAGAATAATTCCAATCTCTTCTCTTCTCGACGCTTTTTCTCTGTTTATAATGACGAGTCACGCCGGTACTGGGCTACTCCGCAGCGGTACGGCCCGAAACCGTCTAAAAGAGTCCCACTATAGAGTTGAGGTAAAAAGTACCGACTTCGGTACCAAACGTACCAAATTGTAGCCAATCGCAGTAGGGATGGGACGGTATGAAAATTTCATATCACAATTATAGTGTCCAAAACAATCGTGATTATCAATATTATCACGGTTTTGTTAAAAATGTATGAAAGTGCTCAAAAAGAACTGATGCTCACACTGAAAACATTTCAACAAGTTTTATAATTGAAAATCAACAAACAACAAATAAAACAAGCCTCTCTACGCAGTTTTTAAGCAAGATTCTATAGACCCTTTTACAGTTGGTAAACATGGTGACGTTTTTTTTGGTGGGCGGAGCTTAGGTGGAGGCAGAAAGATCCGTCTGGCCGCTTCACTAACGCTAGTTAGCAAGGATTGTTAGCTTGTTTTTTAACAATGACTGGAGAAAATCCGATATTATCTTAATGCAGGGCTCCAGACTGCGACCAAATAGTCGCATTTTGCGACCAAAATTTGAGAGTGTGCGACTGAATTTTACATCCAGTCGCACATGTGCGACCGGTAAATTTGCCACACGTTAAACGCATGGTAAGCGTGGAAGGGACGCGTCAATGAATCCGTGACAAGAATAGCGCGAATAAACGTCTGTGGGAAGGAGACAAATATCACAACCTGATGTGCGTCTGAGCAATAAGCGATATCGACACGTTACCTAGCAGCGAATACAAACAAAATGAAAGTGGAACTAAAATGCGCAACTCACGGACGGACCGTTAGCGTTTTTATTAGGTTGGACTGTGCGGGCAGAGCAGAGCATAGTGGAGCCCCCCCGAACCACTGACAGTAATAAAGCCCCGAACTTGCCAGTCGCGGGACGATCTCGATCACGCGACACTGTTACTAGCAGATCCAGTGAATAAATCCATTGAATTCACCTCAGAATTAATAACATCATCGCTACGAGATCCAGTGAGAAACACTCCGATTCGGCGCAACCATATCAGATCAAACAGCGCTGACGTGGAAACCAGGAGAAACACTTATAGAAGGCTTTCAGTACACTTTCAGTCCACCATGGATTTAGGCTAGTAAGTTAACTCGACCCATAAATATGATGTCAAACGCTTACAACGTAGCCTACACATCTTTGTCCTGCTCTTCAAAACGATAATATCATATATAAATGTTTTATTTTTTTGTATTTTTTTGTGATGATCAACACATTTTTTGTTCATTCTTCAAAGATTGTCCTAAAACGAAAAATTTTAAGATGTTGGAAAACTCTTATTTAAACATTAAAATTATTATTATTATTATTTAAAAAAAAAAAAACATTGTAAACAGTAAGATGTTTATTGGCTATTCACTCCAAGTCCTTATATACATACATGTTTTTGTATAACTCGAGTTCTGATTTGAGGTGGTGCTGCCCTCAACTTTGAGTCTGGAGCCCTGTGAACTTAAAATAAAACAGCATATCATAATGTTAAGTCTATTTATTATTAAAGAATTTGTCAGTATAACAGTTATTTTGGGGGAAATTTGAATAATTGCATTGCGAGCTGATTTAAGGTGTGCCCCTAAATATTCTGCTTGCGCTCCTAAAATTTTCAGTCAGGGGCAACAGTGCTCCTAGTAAAAAAAGTTAGTCTGGAGCCCTGTAATGTGTAAGCTCACTCACTGTCCAGGACTGTGATTGTTATTTCCAAAAGTTATTTTTAATAGTTTTTTGTAAAACCCAAAATATGACCACACCTCAGATTTGGTCCTCTTAAAAGGCTGAAAAACCTCCTGAGCACGGTCACTGCCTTCCACCATTCCTTCTCGAATAGTAATTTAAAAAAATATTGCGTGCTGCTGCGCCTGCGTCAGACTGGCCGACAGG